TGATGCATTTTCATGTTGTCTTATTGAGATTTGCATAAATGTTCAGAAAAATTCAAATCTTAAGATCAAGCACATTTGGAATGGGTCATTCTAGGAGAATAACAGATCAGGTGACGTCTCAGTTTTTCTTTACTTAGGCTGTTTTGTCGTCTGACTCCTCCACTGTGTCTCAACTTTCTGGGCCTGATTCATTTGGACTCTGCCATCTCACACCAGGACAGAATGCAGACGTCTTACACCTCTGTGAGTTCATATACTGTACAGCCTCATTCAAACTACCAAATACTTCACAAGTTGATCAACTTTAGGACCACAGCGTAGAAAAAAAAAGTAATCTTTGTGTTAAATCTAAATGTTTTGTCTTCTTGCCTCTCTGTCAGATTATGGGCTCTATGCGGCTGCTGCCTGTGATATCTGATGGATTCTACATCTATTATCCCATGTTGGTGGTGCTGCTTTGCATTGCAACTATTTACAAGTAAAGTAACCATTCAGAATTCCTGTATATGACATTTATGTTTATGTATCCCATACTATATGGCTACTCAAACCGGATGTGGAATATTATTGTGTAATGTTGATGTGTTGTAGATGTTTAAGTATTGCAGAAGACTGGAATTTCCGTACTATAAGCTGCTGCTTTTTTCACGTTGAAATGCAGCTAACATAAGGCTATCAATCAACGGGTTTTGAAAGTGAAACTGGTTGTGGGGTGATGGCGGGAACGGAGGCAGGAGTTTGTTCTGTAATCGATGGGTTGCCAGTTCGACTCCATCTCCATCATTGGATCTTTGGGCGAGACATTTCACCCAACTTGCCTGCTGGTGATGGTAAGAGGGCCTGATGGTGGAAGACTAAAATACTAAAACAGCGCAGAATCGGTTGCAACTTCTCCTTCTGTTTGCTGATTGACTTGGTTGAAATTCAACCGGAAAAATAAAGGTCAATGGGAGAAATCCCAGAGAGCATACTTGAAGAGAGATGAGAATTGAGTGGAATTGCGTTGGAAGGCTAATTTGAGGGGTAAAACGTTTACATTTCCTCTCGGTTTTGGGCCTCAAATAAACAATATCAGGCATCACATTATAAATCCAGAATCACCTTTATGCCACTAAGAATGTTTCATATCACTGACAATTTTCTTAGTTTTTCTCTGATTTGATTTGTATCACTGTCTGATCTAAATGTCCTCTTTCATGTGTTCAAGTTAGCAGTTTTTCCTCTAATGACACTTATTTGGTTATAATTTGCTTACTTGTAGTACAAATAGAATAGAGAATGCTTGGTAATAGCATGTAATTGTGTTTCTTTGTTTGTATAGGTTGGGCTCTCGCTTCTTGAACCTCCTAGGTTTCTATCAGTTCATCACTGACAATGAATTTACCTCTGAACTGGTAGATGAAGGCAAGGAGCTAATAAGAAGAGGTATTTTTTTTTCTTATTGGCTCTGTCACTTGCTGCAGCATTTAAAAAAAAAATCAAATTAGGTTTAGTTTAAAATAATCTTGAGGTTTTGGTATTCATATTTTAATGTGTCTTAATGCTGCCATGTCCTATAATGCACATTTTATAATTATCAAAATATCACTGAATGCAATTTGCATATCATGAAGAACTGCCTGGATTACAACAAATATTTGCAATTTATTTAAATACCATAATTAAGGGTCGGTATACCATAGATGTATTTGGTGACACTTCTTTTTAAAGACAACATAAAATGTTTTAAAAAGGGAAGCGGCGGTAAGGGATCAAGTCACTACACAACTACAACTAATCTGACGGAAAAGCATATTTTCAGAAAAACATTGACAAGGTAGAAGTAATGATTTTAATTTTTTTCTATAAGCTGTAAAGTCTGCTCTCTATCAAGTGTCTATGCAGAAAGAAATTAATAATTAATTTCAATTATTTGCTTATTTATTTCAAGTCATATCGTCATTGCCACATTCACCAGCATTATTGCATGTTTTCCTAATATTGTCTAGCCCTGGTTTTTATTAGAAAAACTATTTTTGTGCTCTCAAAATTAGCACAAATACGTTAAGTTGATTGACTATATTTATTATTTTTTGAATTTGAGGAGATTTTTGAAGTTAATATAGGCAGGTTTTTGGTTTAATATAGTATTTACATACTCCTAATTCCCTATTTGCTTATTCTTTATGGCTCAAAACCCATGGCTTGTGGGTTGTCGTCTCTTTCAGCTTATAAAGCTTAAAGATACACACACTGTTCCAAAGGATAAAATCAAAAGTTATTTAAGTTATTCTTAAATAAAAAATAACAATCCTCCTATGCATAAATTATGTTTAAATGGCAATGGCTATTTGAATTTGTAAAAGTCAAATAAAAGTATCAAAGTTCAATAATGTTAATTGAAATAATGTATATTTAGCATATTATATTTCAGGCCTGATTTGTCTAGTATAAATAAAGTAGATATTGAAATAGCTACCGTCTAGATGTCCAGAAGGCCAAAAGGTTGTGAAATAGTCCTTTAACTAAATGCTGAATCAGAAGCCAACTTCATTGTGGTGTTTTTATGACTTACAAATTAAATCCAAATCAAGTTTTAAATTGACATTTTCTTTGAAATGTTCATAAGGTTTTAAAAGTTCTACAAAAATCTAAACATTTGAGACTGAATTAGGAACTGTTCAATTGCCATCTTGTTACATTCGTTGCATGCATTTTTGGTCCTTTCAAAAGGAGGAAAATCTTGTTCATGAGTTTAACTGTGATTAATATTGCTCATTTCTAGAAAGAAGAATAAGGCAAAGAGCAGAGGATGGGCAAAATCGAAGATGGGTAATAAATTATTATTATTATTATTTTTTTTATTGTCCAATACATCCTCTTTGTAATTTTGTTTCTACTATGTTAGTTCATGGATTCTGTTTGTTTGTATAAAGTGTTCTCAGGTGTTTATATGGCTGTTTTGGCTTTTACTTTAGGCTTGGAGGGAACGATACAGAGACCTGGCGACCTCGGAGCGAAGCAGAGCCAATTATAGTGAGCTGGACGAGAACTCTCCTGAAACAGAGATGAGGACAAGCGGTAGGTACTAAGGACGAAAAAACACTCAACAGCAAATATGAAGAATACGTTTGTACTTCTTGTGATCTCAGTAACTAGTGTAACAGGTAATACAGGCATTCACTGTCAATAAATTATCACGTTAAAAAATGTATTTATTTCAGTAAGTCAGTTCACTGAGTGAAACACACAGACTGTTATTTGGCACTTACAGATAATAAAAACATGACATTTAAGATTATAATATTACATCAGTCCATCAAAATAATAAAATGTGTTTAAAACTCCAAAGTACATTTGAATTTTGCTTATTTAGTAGAGATTTTTTATTATATCACTGCCTGTATACCTTAGTCCTCTGACTTTAAAGGACATTGAGATCACTTACATCCGTCAGCAGTGTACTGTTTATAAGCATGTCCTTCTCTGTGATTGCAGTCAACAGAAGCAATGGAAACATAGAAGAACAACACACAGGTCTACTGCAGGATAACTCCGGTGACAACAGTTTCCCAAATAGAAGGTATTCCTTTAATTAAACTAAAAATGTTACATTAAGAATGTAATTTTTAATATTGTTTTCCAAAAAGAACTTAATTTCCAAATTTTTGAGTGTCACTAATCTTGTGTTTTTATGTTAACTCCACAGATCCGTGGCTGGACAGTATCTGTCTTTCTCACGTTCTCTGAAAAGCTTGTTTGACGATGTGTAATCAAATCAGGCTCTCTCAGGGAATCAAAAAGCCAATAAACACTAGAAATCATTTAAGTTACAAAGAATTTCTATGTTTTTTAAAGAAATTTTGAAAGATTGATTCTGTGGAATAAAAAGTATTGTGTGTATCTAATAGATTATTACGGTTTATAGATAAAACAAACTGTTTAAACAGCTGGTTTCTTGTTAAGAGAACTTGGTAACAGACTGGGGTATATTTATCCAGAGTATTTGGCATTTTATTTTAACCAGCCCTTTTTAAAATTTATATTTTTGTAAATTGTTTTGAACTAGTTTTACATGTATTTTTAATAAACCTCTGTACATAATGAATACTTCTTCTTTATGACCTGTGATACTGATTCATATATTGAATCAGTATCACAGGTGAAGAAGTATTCATAATGTGCATGACACCTTAACCTGTTTCATGTTGTAGATTTTCTTTTTTTCTTTTTTTATAAATATTGTATTCTCAAGTGAAGTCACATGAGCTGCTTTATCTAAAATGTTTTAACAAATAATTTTTTATGTTATTTTTTGCTTTAAAATTGACTTCTTAAAATCAGATGTATTTTATTTATTTGTTTTTATCTTATTTTGTGTGTTATATTTAATGTATAATAAATTACCTCTGCAATAAATGAAAGGGGGGAAAGTGCAATTTAGATGCAACATCTGAGGTAAGGACGTAAGGTGGTACTTTTATTTAACTATTGTAATTACCTATGGGGTGAATAGAAAGGTATGTATGTATAGATTCTTCAAGAGAATTTAAAAACTGAATATGGCTAAGTAACTACATATTTTTTTATAAAATTAAAATCATTAAACGTTTTAAAATCAGATAGTTTAATTTCCTTTTTAACGTATTAAGGATATTAATTATATAAAATAGATATTTCTAATTTAATTTATTTAAACAAAATAATAAAGGAAAGATAAAGAATAAAAGAAAAACAATATATTTTACAGTTTATAAAAACAGTAACTGGTTGCGCGTGCTGCATTTTCGTCCTCTGTAAAATACGGTATTCCATTATGTCTTAATTGCAAATCGGACCTTTAATGAAACTAATAAAAAAAAATCAAACATACAGCACACTAAAATCTCCTTATTTCCATAACAGAATGTCAATTAGCTTTTTATCTATGCAAATTTGATTATACAGATTGAACTATATCACTGTTTTGTTTTTGCTACGTCGATATGGCAAATATCGCACGGCCCATAGAGGCATCACCACTGACTGTTCCTCTCCGTACCAGACATAGATGTTGCTCTTTACAGGCTCGGCTGTTTGTATGCCAGTAATATTGTAGCATTGCAAATTTTCTGAAAAAGCAATCTTCTTTTTAAATATATCACAGATTATCACTTTCTTAAAACAAGATATTTTAAAGTATTTTTTTCTGACGTTCATATCTGGTAAGTAAATAGTTCTCGAGCTATCAACGCCAACATGGAACAATCTTTGTTGCTAACAGTGTTAGCTTTAGCTTCTGATATACTGGTTGCTGTAGTAAGTAAATTGACAGCTCACGTTTAGCTATGCTTTTCTTATAATAGTCTGTATTATTTAGATTTAATTGACTCATCTAACATTAACACATCCTGTATTGTTATAGTTCCCGACGTTGATTCCCATCGACGATAAAACGGAAGCCTTTTTTAATGCTGTACAATGCTAACCGTTATTACCGTTGGAGAAATGTCTCCCTTTTTAATAAACCCATAAGCACGTTTTAAACTGGCGTTATTTCATAAGGGTACAGTGTTGCAAGGATATTCATATATTCTGTTTGTACAAGTTGCATTTTTCCCTTATTTTTTGAGGAACATATCGGGGTTATGTGGAAATACCAACAGTTGAAGTTTTAAGTGAAATCAGCATGGTGTAATATCTTTTACTGAACTTCTTCATTTGTTTATTTGCCTTATCATTTCCATTAAGAAAGCATTAGAAAGGATAGTTTCGATTTTACATACCTTTTCAAAAATTTGCATACCTCTACAACATATTTCAAATCTAGGCTTTATATATTTTAATGGGATTTAATGCGATAGATCATCATAAAGTAGCACATTAGTGTTACGTGGAATAAAAAGGAGGGATAGTGTAAATAAAAATCTTGAAGGTTGGGTGTGTTTATTCACAGCTGCCTTCAGAGGTAAAGTTATTGGTAAGTAGAGTCCACCTGTGTCTAATTGACACAAAGTATAAATCCTCTAATTCTTTAGAGGATTTAGAGAATTCTTTAGAATTCTCTAAAGAATTCTGTGAATTCTTTAGAGGATTGCTAAAGCATTTGTTTGCAATAAAACTTTTGTAAACAATCAGCATGATGAAGACCAAGGAACACAGCAGATAAGCCAGGGATAGAGTTGTGGAGAAGCTTAAATCAGAGCTAAATTATAACACAATATCTCAAGATTTGAACATCTCACAATTTGGAACTGAAAATAAAAAGTACTGCACAAATTACACTTGTGAAGAAATGGTCAGCCTCCTAAAACTGACAGCCGCATTTGATAGCATGATTTTAAGAAGTAACCCAAAGACAAATCTTGTAAATCTCTGGCAGAAGATGAAGTCTCCACATCACCTTGTGTCTAAAAGTCCAGACATAAATCCAATTGAAAATCAGTGTAGCACTGTTGCCTTGCAGCAAGAAGGTCTTCCCAAAGTCCAAAAATATGACTGTTAAGTTAATTGGTCTCCCTAAAGTTCTCCTTAGGTGTGAGCGAGTGCGTGCATGATTGTTTGTCCTGTCTGTCTCTGTGTTGCCCTGTGATGGACTGGCGACCTTTCCAGGGTGTACCCCACCTCTCGCACAAAATGTATCGCTGCTGGAGATACAAGGGTGTAAGAAAATGTATGGATTACAACATCCAGTCCTCCTACTTATGTGTTAATTATTTCAATTACTTGGTGCTGTCTGCAACATCTCCCCTGTTCTCTGCAGAGCTGAGTATCTAAGATCTCTTGCTAAACATGTTCTGGTATCTGTATAGTGAGGCAGAATTTCATGTTTCAGGTCATCCTTTCTTTTGTTGGAATGCAATGGGATTAGTGTTGCTTTTGCATGGATGCAATATAAAAAAAAAAAAAAAAGAAAAGAGGAATTCTGTTGACATTTATTATCTGGTTTGTAGGCCACCATGGGTGGACTGGGGAATGGTCGTCGTGGAGGAAGAGCCCCTCCTTTAATGGTTGCCGCCCTAATTGCCTGTATCTTGGTTTTGGGCTTTAACTACTGGGTGTCCAGCTCTCGCAACCTGGAGCTACAGGTAGGTGAACTTACACATGTGTTTGTTTTGTCTGATGAAAGCTGGGTTGGTATCTTTCTACTAGTACGTACATAAAGAGCATTCAGATTTAAGCTTTCCATGCTTTGAAATAAGTTTGAAATGCATGCTTGTTGCAGTGGTCGCTTCTTGGTTCATGTATCTGCCACACCCCGGTGTGCTGTTCACAGTTTTCGTGATTTTGATTCGGATTGTAAAGACAAGTAGTTTGTACTGACTGGTACAAAAAAAAACAACCCGTTTCCAACAAAAAAGATTCTTGTACTTTATGTGTATGAGGTATATGAAAACATTGAAATACTAAATCTTATTTCCTACAGTTAGATGAGACATTACAGAGTGGCCTACTTCAAAAATGAAACAGGAAACCCTCATAAAACTCAACACTTGTTTGAAGCTAAACTGAGCGTGCTAAAGTACACTGTTTGAATCTAAACACATGCACCTGCAGCTTAATAAAGCATGTGATAGGAATTTGCAGAGGAACAACTTCACACACGCTCAAGCTTGACAAATAAAACATTAGAATAGCTGTGATGTGCAATTGTTTGAAAAATAAATCGCACATTCTATGACAAGAAATGCTAAGAAAGATTTATGTGACACAGATATGCTCTCCTAAATCAGAACTGAGGCTTTAAAGATAAATCTTGGACATGGGATAAGATTCTAATGTTGGCTCTAAACTGAAAATCAAATCTAATTTCTTCACTTTGATCTGAATTCTAAAAGACAGCAAGTTAATAGCCTTAACACTGAATTTATTGCATTAATATTGATCAGAAAACTGTTGCTTGTCTGGAATTCTGCTGCTAAGAAGGCAGAATAAATTATACCAATACATCAACCACCTAATCCATGCCAATAAAATGTCATTTTAAAAATGCCATTATTTAATGTAAGTCAGGTTCTAAGACCTAAACACATTTTATTCAGACACATAGGGAATGATTTACTTTCACAGAATCCAACCAAAGCAAAGTAGAGAAGCAGCTTGTCGTTTCTACACACCTCACCTGTCTAACAAGTTCCTGAATACCTGAAATCTGAGAAACTTTCAGCGTATTTAAATAACTACTGAAGGCATTGCTCCGGTTCTATGAGTGTTGGATGCTGCCGTCTGTTTTTGTTCTTTTAATCCTCCTTAGTGCACAATTTGCTTGCTTTTTTTTTTTTTTTTTTAAGTGCATTTTAACATTTGTATGTGTGGGTTACATATCTTCCCTTTGTGGTGAAGGTTAAGCATCCTCTTGTCTAAACGGTGCCAGGGCAGAAAGCCTTCACAGGAAAGAACTAGATGAGGCCATGAGACCCGATAAAATATTTTGTCGCATTGTCTAAATTCTCTGTCGGTTGCTTTGTGGGCTTCTGGAAATATAAGAAGCAAACATCTCACGTGTTGTCCCTATCTCCTCTCTCAGATAAGTACTGTCACTATCAGATGTGTCGTCTTGTTGTCAGAACGTGAGATGAGCACAACGCGGTGACATGAGCTGATCCAGAATCTGTCATTGTGTGTTTGAACAAAGACCAAGCTGTATGAGCTGGAAGGCCAGGTGCGACGAGGAGCGGCTGAGCGAGGCGTCGCAGAGATGAAGAAGAATGAGTTTCAGGACCAGATTCAGAAACAGGTGGAAGAGATCAGTCACATTGAAAGCCTTCGCAGGAAACAACTGGATACGTACAGCCAAGAGAAGGTAAACACCATGACCACTAAGCCTCGGACTTGTAGGAGCAATCTAATGGTTAAACAGTTAAAATAAATAGTTCTGCAAGATTTGGACATTCCTCTCGTTTGCGGCTGTTAAAATTAATGCTGCTTTTGGTTTTGCCTGCAGGCTAAATTGCAGCAAAATATTTCCTCCAGTACCAAAACCATAGAGGAACTAAAAGGTAGCCGTTAAAATGTAACCTCTGGTTCTCAGAAATTGACTGATCATGTCAGTGTGAAGCTTACGTGTCTTACACTGTGTTTTGTCTGCTCTGCAGGTCAGCTGAATCAGATGAACAATGACTTGGGGAAGCTTCAGAAAGAGCTGCAGCGTTGCCAGGCCAACACAAGCATCCTCAGCAATAAGCTCACTGTTGACATGTAAGGAGTTTTGTTAGAAGTTCTTTAAACAATATGCTTAGTATTAGCTTGATTCATAATGAATTTATTTTTAAAAGACACAACTATACTTCAGTTGTACTTCTGAACCTTTTCACAATTAGCTACATAAATCATTACTAATTACAACCACAAACTTCAATAGATTTTCTTTGGATTTTATGCAAGTTACCAGTGCAAGTAAGTAAATAATGGCTTTTGTTCTGCTCCCTGTTCTCTGATGCCCCTAAATGGAATCACTTGCAACTAATTGCCTCCAAAGATTACAATATTATTAAATATTCTATGTTTAATTTAATATCTGTATAAATCCCTCTGTTCTGTGACAGCTTTAGAGATTTGTTAAGAACATTAGTGAACAAGCAGCTTCATGAAGACCAAGACATAAAGCAGTGGAGATGTTTAAGGCAAAATTATAAGAACATCGGAGCTGCAGACGTCCAAACAGAGCACTGTTCAATCCATCGTGGAAAAAAAGAGTGTGTGTGAAAAAAAAAAATCTAAAAAGACTAAAGCTGACAGAATAGGCAAGAAGAGCATTGAACAAGCTGGGATGGCTATGTGGGCTGTACAAAACATGTTCATTACATTCATACATAATATTCTTAGATATTGAGATTAAACGCTTTCAGTTCTGCCTGTTCTGTGCGGTTTTAGGGCTACGTCGCAATTATGTAAATAAGCTACTGCTGGTCAAACCCTCCCAACTCAGTGTTTCCATTAGCACCTTAAACACGTGAAAATGTCTACAAACAGATGCAGAGTGGTGCAACTGTACTGTACATCTTTGATCCGGAAGCAGAAGAAGTGGAAGCTCCTATACAACCATCAAGCCTCAACCCCTGAAGGATTAAACGCTGCGGATCTGTTGCACATTTATGCCCTTATTAGTTTAAACTGTGATGATTCTGCCTCACTTCCACCTCTGCGCCACAATCTGCTCAGCTTGAATGTGTCACCGTGTGCCATGATGTGAAGTCGAGCAGCTGACATCAGCGCAATAATTTAGCACAAAGCAATATTTTTTTTTTCCCCACAAATGCAACTTGTTAGGTTAGAGGAGGAACATGTCTGGAAACATGTAAAAAACAAATTCAGATGATGTCGGTAATGTCCAGGTGTCCGACATGTTTTCACAAACATCTTCTCGTTGTAGACTATCATTAAATCAACAGTAAATATGCAGGTATTGTGGGTAACGTAACATGAGATGGAGGACTAGCAGAGGCTATTGTAAAGCATTGGCTTATGCAGAATAACACATTTTGAAAACATGTCATGTAATTTCCACTTCAAAATTATTTATTAGTTGTTTTTTTTTTTTGGGGGGGGGACAATTACAAAAAAATCCTTTAAAAAATACATTGAAGTTTGTGTTTTCAATTTGACAAATTATGGAAAAAGCTGGATATCGATTCTTTGGTGATTGACTGTAAAGTTGATGGTTAACATGACTCTGTTGCATTGCACTTTTCTTGCAGAGCTCACTGTCAGTCTCAGGTTCTGTCCCAAAAGAAGCTGTGTGACGAGAAAGTGGCAGCTGCTAAACTTGAAGTTCAGAAGAATGTTCAGAAAGTCGTTCCGCCTGCAGGTTCTCCCACACAGGTAACTCGGCTCACCTGTTTGACTGTACGTTTAGGAATGTTTCCCTCATAACTAAAATGATCAAAAGTCTTTAGCTTTGGAATTAGGGTCAGTAAAAAGGTGATTAATAAGCCACTAAGGTTAGAAATTCTCCTGTGATTCAGGAATAATTACTGTTTACATGTGCTGATAAACAATGTTTTGTTTACTTGGTGAAAACTCTGAAACAGTGTCAGTGTCTTTGCACAATCACAGTAACACAAAAATGTCTCATTGTCTTTTTCTACTCAGTTTTGGCCTCGGTAGGCATTAGATGCATATTTACAAATGCTGTTGCGTATTATATACGTTAGTGCAACCATATCAAAAAGAACAGGGGTGGAAGTGAAACGCTTTCCGCTTTGTGGGTTCTTCTGCTCGAGTGTTTTGCTTCAGCTTTGATGCAAGTAAGAATAGTTCTTTTTTTTGACACTTTCCCCATCAGCAGAAAAACGCAGAGGCTGGAGAACAGAAAGAAGAGCCAATAGGAAAGGCCGCTCCCACAGAGGCTGAAGCAGCAGCAGCAGCTGTGAGCCAGAAACCAAACATCCCTCAGGGCAAAGGAAGTAAAGTTTCTGAGCTGCTCATCAACAACATCAACACTGACAAAGGTAACAAAAAAAAAAGAATGCGGAGTAATTCATGAGTTATTTTAGGTAAATGTAAAAACAATCCAACATTATTATTTTCAAAGCATACTTATTAACATTGAACATATATTGTTGATATTTAGATTTTAAATAATTCTTGGTTATCATTAAGACTGTAATTGAAATAAAAAAAAAAAACAATTTCACTTCCAGAGTGGTCAGAACAGCCTCTGATAGACGATCTCTCTAAAGCCGAGTCCCAGAGCGTTCCCATGGCTGGTTCAGAGAATCGGAACAAACTGCAGCAGAAAGAGGGAGAAGGGAAAACTTCCGAGGCGACGACCAGAAAAGGTTTGACAAACCATCTGATGGACGATAAAGACATAGAGGTGATGGACGTTCACGAGGAAGATGCCCGAACTGAAGGTGAATTGAAGACAGTATATAGAAACGGTTTTCTGTCTGTCGGTGTCAGTGACGTTATTCTAAACAGCAGTTCTTACAGAAGCAGATCAGGGAGTGCAGGACATCCTAAACGGTCAAGAAAAGCCAGAGGAGACGGCTAACGGTCAAAGACCTAAGGAACCAGATGAATATGACGGAGACGAGCAAGTTGTCGATGGAGTTGATTTGGAGAAAGAACAGAGAAGTAAAACAGCCAAAAATATGCTAAACGTTTTGTTTTATTTGCAGTTGTAGTTGCAGAATTAATTAATTTTCTTAACTCCTACTTTCGTATTTTTGGCAGATAAAAACACGGAGGAGGAAATGGCCGACTACAATGGCGACGATGAGAATGAAGGAGAGTTTGAAGCTGACAAACAAGCTGCACTTGCTCAAAACTGAGGTACATGCTGAAATCTATACTCAGGGGTTTATTTGGTTTCTTATTGAACTATATAGTTGCTACACAGTAATTGTAGCAAATAAGTAAATCGAAAAGTAAACCTCTCCTATATAGTCTTTACAGATAGATACACATTTCAAGCATTTACTTCTGTTGGTTTTTGATAAATATGAAAACCCAAAATTGGTATTCTTAAAAATTACAATTTTACGTAAGGCCAAGGAAGCCGATCTCCAATCTTCTAAAAAGTATGTCCATGTATGGAACGGTATATGCACTCCACCCTTGGTTGGTGCCCTTTTTGCAGAAATACAATAACTGCATCAGTGTGGCATGACATGCTCTGGTCTCTCTAATCAGGCAACCACAGTCGTTACCACAGTTGTTAAATCAGACAGAGACCCTTGTCAGTGTGGTCAGGTGGCAAATTCTTCTAGAAAATAAAAGCAGCATCTCCATAAAGTTTGTTTGCAAAGGGACAGATAAAACTCTGTGGGCAATGCCTGGTGATGGTCTGATGATCTTCAGATCATCATTGACTGAAAACGTCATGAGACCTGAAGCAACTCAGACTCTGCACCTTTTCATCCAACCTGGAACGTTGACTTCCAAATGAAAATAAAAAAAAAACTGTTTAATTTGGAGAGAGAACTTTGGAATACAAGTAAGCAGTGCAGTCCTTTTTCTCTTTGTCAAGTTGGGAAACTTCTGAAGTCGACTGTGTTTTCATTAGGAGGCTCTTGGATCTCCAGGCGAACGTTGCAGCTTAAATTTCCCACAAACACTTGGCTTAATCCTACATTCATCCCTGTCGCTTCCACGCCTTTTCCTACAACTTAATGTTTTTTGTTGTTGTCTTGCACTTAATTTTCAGTTAATATGCTTGGACCGTGAGCTTCACTAGCAATGATTTGATGTGGGTTAACCTTGTGAATGACTGCTGGAGAAATGTAAAGGCAGCGGTCTTCCCTGTGATTGACGGCACTATATGTTCCAAATATATCTCTATCACAAAATCAGTCTGTTCAATGTTCATATTGCAAAGGGCTGTGGAGAGAACAGCAACTGTTGGTCTATATAATCCCAGTTTTATGAACTTGTGTTTTACATCTCAGGGCAGCAGACGCTCACACTGCACACGAACGGCATTACCCAAAATACTAGAGGTTTCATATCGCAACAGATTTTTGTTGTGGCAAAATTACCAATATTATCGCTTAACACCATATGCAGTCCTATTCCACAATAACATTTCCATTTTCTGTATTCAATTTATTCTTCTAAAAATCCTAATTTTAGAAGAATAAAAATTCTTCTAAAATTTTAGAAGGGAAAAGAACATGTGTGTGTGATGAATAAATATATTATTAGTGTTATACTTTTAATCTTACACCAATAGTATAACACTAATTGAACTAAATTAATTTGTGTTGTATTATTTCGGATGCACCAGCAGCATAATGACTTCATCACTTTTATTTTGTCTCACTAACAGAATCCTGCTGCTGTTTTGCAGACACAATAGAGGAAGAATCCTCCAAATCTCCCCTTTCAGAGAGCAGGAGATGTTGTGCACCACAGCTCTGCAGCAAACACAGCAAAAACACAGACCCGTTTCAGCGTTTTCTTGATCTCGTTCAGATGATCAGATGACCAACTATCGTTGTTCCTCATTTGAGGACTTGTCATCCGTTTCCTTCTTGTTTCTCTCTCTTTTTTTTTTTTTTGCTTTGTTTTAGCGAATGTCAGACATGACTGAAGACATCTCATAGCTTGACACCATTTGGGCCACGTCGATGTGGATTAAAATGAGAAGTATTTCATGATGTGTTGACAGGTCTTGAGGTCACTTGATAGCAACTGTAAATTCAGATATCAACTTACCGCTGTTGGGCTTCAGGGTGTGAAATACTGAGATGAGCTTCAAGATCTGTGTGCTTGCTGTGACACGCATCAGCCACCAGAGAGCGCTGTTACTTTTCTCATTATTGTATCTTTAACAAGCCTTCGCCTTTCTCTGGTATAGTTTCTTAGAACATTTTTTTAAATATTTGAGTTTATTTCAAGTCAGTATTCACCCTTCTCTTAAACATTCTTTAAGCGTCCAGCCCTGTAACAGAAGGAAGTTACATTTCCTGTAGTTTCCTGCTATATTTCTCTCATAAAAAATGCTGCATTTGTAGTTTGGTTTAATTATTGATCATTCCTAAAAACAGAAAGGGGAAAAAAAAAAAACACAAACATAATTACAGTTTATAGATGATTCGAACGTTTTGTTTGAAGCATGATTTTATTGCAGTACAGTTATATTTAGTAATTAACTCTACACCATCATTGAAATGTTCAGGCGCTTCATTGGGAGCAGGCGTTTCCTTCTGAGCTGTATTTTCTACAGAGCATCGTGTGGGTTACTGTTTGCATCTTTGTGTATTTGAACTGGAATAAGGGGATGCTGGAAGTGCTCTCCTGCAGATCCTAAATGTCGCTGCTCCAGGCCGCATCTGCTTTTGTTGACCAGTTGTGTGTCGACATCTTAATCGGCTGTCTCTGTGGAGGTCGAACGTGTAAAGACGGTGAGATATCTCGTTGCGCTCACAGTCTGCCGCATCCTCTGTGTCAGTATCCGGCAGGGACTTTTAAAAAAATTGCTGTAATGTAATTGTACACATTTACACGAAGCTTCGTGGCTCCTCGGAGCCAGTAGAAGTGAACTGCAACTCTGAGATGTGCGTGTGCATTTCATAGTGAAGCTACACTGAGCTGGAAACTGGGTAAGTGCAAATATAAGCTAGTTGTAGGCGTCAAAGGTAACAAAAAGTCGATCTGAATTTATTGAAGGAAAATCGGTTGCCTTGTGATTTATGCAGGACAAGATGTATTTTATTTACTCAATGTCTGTAATATAGATGTAGTGCAGTAGATTTTAATTTCCAGAATGTTTTATCATCAGTTGTCTGCTCCAAGATTACATAATCTAGAAGTTGGAAATGACCTTCCTACAATGTTTTTTTTTTTTTTTTTTTTTGCATATCTGAATGATTTCCCTGCTGTACATTGTGACTTTTATAATGTTTTATAAGTGTAGATGTTATGCAGCTGAGTGTCTGAGATGACGCATGTTGGAATATCATTACATATTGAAATACAGGTCAAAACTTCAAAAATGTTGTACATGTAAATAAAACTCACACTTTTTCTGTTTTCCACACCTTTTTGCAACATTTTTTAACTCGTGCAAACCTCTTAATGTTCAAATTTTGTCATTTTTCTTTTATTTTTTATGATGCTGAATTAATAAGATCTGACTCAAAACCCTCGCAAATTGTGGAGATCTGTTAATTTATTAAGCAGCTTTGTTTATTTTCACAGTCCAAAGGAAGAAATTGCCACAGTTTAAAGGAAAATGTCAAAACAGTTTAGGTGGAATCACAAAGTGACGTACCTGCTAACGAGCAGAGAGCCTGTAATGTAATGATTTTACCAGAATTATTTAAAGTAGAATATCAGCCTTGATGGAGAACTGCCAATGAAAATCCTTGAGTACAAGATTGTTTCTGTTTTCTTTCTGCTTTTTACATATTTTACTATTGTCCGTTAATGTAAAGTTTAGACAGTTTAATTGTGATATTCAAATAGTTTGTGCTAAAAAATAAATAAAAATAAACTTTTCTAAAATGCAAATGTGCTAACCTTAAAAGAAAATATGTTCTTTGTATTTTGTTTGATTTGATTTGTTGCTATGACTTCATTTTATTTCTAAAATGAAAGATTTAAATTATCATGTTGTTTTATTTACAATAGAGTTGAATTAAAAATGTTTTTATTAGTATCGTATTTTGTGTGATTTCTTGTAACCAAAAGTGATATTGTTCCTTTCATCATTCGATAATTGTTGCATCGTTTCTATTTTGACCAGCAAATATGTTCTTGTAACATTTTGAGGTCTTTCTGCTGATAACTTGGCTTCAGAAAAGCATCTTCTGATTTAAGCAATAAACATAGTTAACCACGTGCCTTCACTGATTACCCAACATTTGATCATTAGATTAGAAGTTTTGTCATTTTAGTTGATCTGTCTTCTGTTAGTAATTTTAAGTTTTCTCCCATATATTTTTTCCCCATCATTTTAGTTTAACTTTGCTTTTCATTCACACTACATTGTTCTTCTGAATGATGTCTGGAGGAAAAAAACATTTTTTTTAGATTGTCAGAGAGGAATGCACTATAACTAGCAAATGCAACATGTTTTGCCATCAGAACTCACTGACCTTTTAAACCACAGGACTTTACTTCAGCAAAGTTTCAACTTTTAGTGACATTGTGAAAGCACACAATCTAATTGGTCATAAAACATTTGAATAATTATCTATGTGCTTTCAGATAAAAAATGTACCACAGTATTTAAATAATACAGTTATCTCAAATGCAAAGCAACGTACAAAGACAATTTGTTAGCTCATTGCTTTGTTTTCAGTTTAAAATGTTCAAGATCAGCAAGTGGGAGTATAAACTGGAAGCATACTTCTCAAAACGTCTACAGGGATATTTTAAGCAGTATTTAACTGTGTACTGGCAGCCATAAATTGTCAGCTAGGCTTTTTTGCTCTTGATTTTATTCATCTGTGAAAGTTTTAAATGTAATTTAACTTGAAGTGGACTCCTCTTCATCCGATTCACATTATAAGTAAGCAACAACTCTCCTAGTAGTTTTACTTTCCATAAACCCTGATTTTCCATTGGCCAGATGCAACGTTTTAAATGCAGCAATGAATTTAGGATAGAGGGATAAAGTGCAAACTTTATGCTGCTGTATGAACAATATGTTTACTGAACTCTGGAAACTCACACATACAGTTCTCTGCAAAAAAAAAAAGTACTATGTCATACAGCAACTCTTAGATACATATGAAAAGTTTAACTCTTGCTTTAAGGCTATTTTCAAAAGATATGTTTAATCTGACAAACAACCTAATCAGAAAATATATTTGAATTCATTGCATATGACTGTATTAAAGTAGTAAAGGTCAACCAGCCCCCCAACTTTTATGAAATCCAACTTTCTTTATATCTTTAAAATGATAGTGGCACAAACGAAAAGTTTTGCAGCACAAACCAGCACAAACATAGCACTAATGTTTGACACCGATTTAGTTTGATTTCATAAAAGTGGGGGGGCTTTTTGACCTTTACACTTTCATTAATATCTTCAAAGCCAAAGCAGCACAAACAAAAATTTTTGCTGCACAAATCAACACAAACATAGCCGAGTTGATTGACACCCATTTTGTCCGATTTGAAGAAGGTGGGGGGTTGGTTGACCTTGGATGACCTCTGGAAACATTTCTTTATATCTTTAAAATGATAGCGGCACAAACGAAAATTTTTGCTGCACAAACCAGCACAAACGTAGCACAAACGTTTGACACCAATTTTGTCTGATTTGAAGAAGGTGGGGGGGCCAACTTCACTCAGGTGAAGAGGGGACATGCAGTCATAAATTTTAAGAATAAATACGTTTTGACAAACTTCACACCTATAAAAATGACATAAAACCTTGTTGCACATTTATGTTCCACAACAATATGACATTTACTTTGAGCTTTATAGGAACTCCTTTTACAACAAGGTTAGCCTCATTTGTGTCTTGTTGCTAAAACGTTGCTACAGTCCAGAAGCAACCTTTCACTTAACTCATCCATTCCTCCGTTTATCTTCTGTGCTTTTCAGTTCATTTGACTGATGCACCATGAGGGGAACTTGTAATTGGCTGCCTAACCAGACTAGCCAACGACAAAAAAAAAAAAAAAAAGTCCCCCAGAATCTGATAAGGCCTATAAAACACAGTCAAAGCATCAGTCAGACACCAGAGGTGATCCACATCAAGAAGAACCAGGATGGAGCATTACTTTGTATTCCTTTTGCTGGTTGGAGGTGAGTTTTTTTTTTTTTTTTTCCTTCTCCAGCTCCTTGGACCTTAGCTGAAAGTTGTTCGGTAGACATTCTGCTTTGTGCGTTTGGTACTTGCGGCACGCGCTGAATGGCTGCTGTTTCTTCCTTTTCAGGTGCTGCATCAAACACTATTGAGAAGAGGATTCTTGGGAGTGAATCCTGTGGCAAGAACCGGCAGTACCACGTCCAGATAGAATCCGCTCAGGGCGGGAAGTCCTGTGGAGGCGCTCTGCTCAACACCCGCTGGGTCATCACAGCTTCTCACTGTGCAGAGCAGTAAGACATCCGCAGTTCACTTTTGCTTGTACTTTTCTTTAAGTTTTTTTTTAATTACTGACTTTCCAGCGTGTGTTTGAGCTGATTCCATCCAGTAATTTCACTACAATTTCTTTTCTTTGCAGGACAGTCAAAGTGAAGCTCGGCGTAAACAACGATGTGTCCATTTTTACAAAAGCCGTCTCCTGGTTCAAAGGCAACTCCAAAAAACACGAACAAACTATTCTGGCCAAACAGCAGCACACCTTCAAAGATGAAGAAGGAAATGCCCATGATATTATGCTCATCCAGCTGAATGAGGACATGTCAGCCAAACTTCCTGCCATCAGCCTCCCTTCAGGAGAATGCACAAAGCTAGAGCCAAAAACAAAAGTGCAGATTGGAGGAATGGGAGCAAAGGCAAAAGGTAAGAATATATATATATATATATATAAATATATAAATATATATATATATATATATATATATATATATATATATATATATATATATATATATATATAGATAGATAGATAGATAGATAGATAGATATTAAAAAAATGAAGCAATTTATTTTTGGTAAAAGGAAGTGACATTTCAGGGCTTTTGTTTTTATCAGGCGGTAAACCGGTTAAAGAGGTGAGATGTGCCACCACAGAGATCTCTGAGTGTGGAGAGGATGATAAACCTGACAGTAAATACAGCAGCGGTGAATCTACAATCTGTGCCTTCAAACCTGGAGTGGAGTCCTGCTTTGTAAGAAAACCATTCTACTGATATAACTATATAATACTTCAGCTTTGTTTTTCTACGCTGTTCCGCATGTGAAACCATCCTGCCTGTGATTTCTGTGTTTCAGGGCGATGCAGGCTCAGCTGTGGAGTACGATGGACATCTACAAGGAATTATTGTTAGCCAGCCTGTGGATACATGTGCTAAGACCATTGTAATGCTGGACATCTGTCAGTACATGGAGTGGATTGGTAAAACAATGAAGGAGAACTGATGAGTACGTTCCAGATATATCTTGTTTAATAATTAAAATAACTACCGTATTTACCTATTTATTTGAGCTTATTAGTCAAACTGCAGCCTTAGTGTGTTTATTTTGATGTGCTTTTCAAATATTTCAAAAGTATGACTTAAGACTATAGCAAAATACAGTTGTTTTGTCCAGCTGCCCATTTTACAACCACTCATCTCCATAAATAAAAAGATAAAACTATCAAAACTTCATGCCTTGTCTGCTGTGTGCTATCTGTCTGCTATCTGAACGTTCAAGGTCTCATTTCCATAACTGAAAAACTATTATCGCGTTCAAGTTTCACTTCCACTTTTCAAGCTAGAGCATCAAACTATTCCTAATATCCAGTGTCACAGCTCACAATTAATTTCCCCACGTTTTTAAATACTGGCTCGGCTCAACCCACCACGGAGCAGAGCAGGATGATTTGTCTGAAGACCAACACTATAAACGTGACCTACAGGCAACGAGGAAAAAGAAAGCACTTCCTACACAACACCTCAGTGTTTGAGATAAAGACATAAGAAAATCTAAAAAATAAAAAAAATGAGGTTTTACTTGAGCAAGAGTGTTGAACTCCAGTTTGAGAGTTACTGTTCTGCAACTTTTAGATGCATTTTTTCTCTAACAACTTACTGCTGAATTGGCTCAGCAGCACATCATCCGACTCCACAGATCCCCAAACGAGCCATTCATTTGATTCAGGTGTGAGAACATCTGAAAAAAACAAAGCACCCTAATGTACCATAGACAAGTCGTGTTAAAGTGCAGTCTTCAAGAGCTTTGCCGCCCCTTATCTAGAGTAATTTAGGGTGTAATTAATTTCTCTCAAAGTTTTACATAATTGATTCTTCTTTGTCTGAGTAAATAATAACATGGTAGTATCTAATGACTGTGGGCTTGAACACTTTAGGCTTGATTTTAGTTATTTATTTTTATTTTGACACTCTCTGCTTGTTTAAGTACGCTTAGATTAGACTGGCTTTTTAATTAAGGGAAGTCTGAGTGACAATGTTACAAGTGACTCCTGCTGGTCTACAAACAGCTGCATGCTGATGCCTTGAGCAGACCGACACACTCCTGACATCCTTTGCAGGATGAATGATGTTCTCTTACTGTTTCTTTTCTTATTTTTATTTTTTGGTTTCTTAGAGACAAGCTACCATCTTATGGTTAAATATAAAATCAAGCTGTCAAATACCCGTAAATGTATATTGTGCATATTTTATGGGTATGCAGCTGTGTTAACTATTGACTGACGGAACCTCTCTAAATGGTAAAGAGTGCTGTGACGGTAAACACCATTATACTACAGCATCATTTGAAGCTTCTCTTTATTTTCATTGTAGTGGCAGAGATGAGGCTGCAAAACCACAATGACATAAAAGACTTTTAGCAGACCTAAAACTTCATCCAGATGTTTATGAAGACAGGACTGATTTTGTTTCCAAGATAGAAGTTCAGTCTCTCAGTTGTGAAATATGGATTATTTTGTTTGTGTGCTAATAAATCTATGGGAAGCACAGGAAATCTATTTCCTTGACATTTCAATGGCATCTCATTGAACACATTTGAAGGCCTGACACTATCTGGACTCAATTTAGAGCATGTCCATGTTGCTAAAAATTAGAAGATTTTGACGATGTGTTGACACTCGTAATGGTTACCCGATACCAGCTGGGAGCTCAGTTATGTGCATACCCTTGTTGGGTTTCAGGGTGTGAAATACTATTACGGGTTTCAGAGATCAGAATGATTGCTGTAGCACAATTTAGCCAGCAGAGGGCTCTGAAGTACAGGCAACCTCTGAGTTTTAGCAGGATTCTCTACAAGGCCTTAACTTTCTGCATTATAAATAGCCCGTTTATTGGTTTGTTTGATGGAGGAAAACGTAATACGAAGGTCTCTGATTCTCTGTGGTCGTTCTGCATGGAGTGTTGCATGTTCTCCCCGTGCATGCTTTAGCTCTTGATCTTCCGCTGTCCAAAACATGGTTGCTCTGTGATGGAATGGCAACCAGTATCTGTACACCGACTCTCACCCAGTGACTGCTGGAGACAGACACCGGCCTCTATACCCTGCAAGGATAAAGAAGGTCTCTGGATGGAGGCTTTGGAGGCTTAGCTATGTTTTAGTCCGACCAATAAAATACCAGAAATGCGGCATGCCTTCCAGGCGAGTTTCTCTGGTAACCGGCTAAGCAGATCCTCTGAGGTGAACACTCTGCAGACTTGGGGTCTAAGTACCGCAGGAGCAGATAGCTGGGTAAGTGTTAACCTTTCTGAGCAGGAAGTGAGTTGGGTCCTCAGTGAAAGGAGCCAGAGAGTGAGGGGTGCAGCGCCTCACACATTAACATGCATCTTACTATAGCCTGTTTTATACTGTTACAGACTCTATGTTTATTCTGACAGATGTAAAAAAAAAAAATTAAAACAAAACTTGTCTTTTGAACAATGCAGTTTATGCTTAAGATCAAAACTAACTATCAATAAATCACAAGGCATATCCATTGTTTCTGGTTATTATTTAATGTAACTTAAACAGGTTAATTGCAAAGGATGACTCTATTTTCTACTTTCTGACTAAATGTGGCAAGAGAGCAAGTTAATCAAATTTTTGAAAAATCCATGTTACTTGCTAAATACTAATTATAACGTACACTTTCCCAGTGTCCAGCCATATGTAGCTCTTTCTTTATTTCTTTCTACTAGTAGGAGAACGAAGCTGCGCCAATAAGCCAACAGAAATACTGAAGAGAAGAAGAGCTGTCATCAATACGGTTGCAGCCATGCATGTTTTAATGTTACACAATACCGTAAAACTTTATGTTTTCAATACCGTATAAGGTAAACTTTTGGTGTAGTTTACCTTGGACCAAACGCCCTCCCAAAGCAATCTCAGTGGCCCCCTCTTTAAAAATTTCCGCCAGCGCCCCCTGCAGTCCTCTGAACACCCCCGTTGAGAAACGACTAGTGTTACACGTGTGAGTTTACTTAAAGTGTCATCTGGAGATGCCAACATGTGGTTAGGAGTCCCACTGAATTCATTTGAATACTTGTAGGTTCTCCTTACACAACCACTCCTTTCTGCAGATTAAACAATTCAGCAGTTTCAGGTTCTGTTTTGACCCCAATGTGGCACACCTCACATCAACTTGACCATTTTCGCATCACCAAATCTAGTTCAATTACAGGAGTGTAAACTTAAACAAATTATTCTCAAACTTGCGTCAAACTTGTGTTGTTGCTAAGAGTAACATTAACTATTAGGTTTAGAAGGCAATTAATTTTGTCCCAGAGTGCCAGCTGGGTTGCATAACTTTAATTTAATGATTTGAAATGTTCTTTTTGTATTTACTCATGTTATCTTTGTCCGATCTTTGTGTGATCTGAAACATGTAAGCGTGACAGAAAAACAGCAACTTTTCCTAGCATTGTATACATGAATGTCAAATTTTAGATAAATTATATACACAGAGTGATCGATTTCTCTTAAGCTTACTGAATAATGTATACCTAACAGCTAAAGGAAACCAAAATTAGAAAAGTAAAACATTACATCAGTCCACCAAAAAAAAATTTTTTTAATATAGAAATGTCACATTATGGAGAGAACTGGAGACCAACTTGACAGCTGTTCAGTAAAGTCAACAGGAGGGTCAGCCAGACAAGATAGAGAAACTGCTAAGACAGAACTGTATCCAAAAATATCATTCGGAAAGTTGAGTGGAGGAAAAAAGTGCGCTAGAAATAGCTGAAGCAAGCAGCAACAGAAACAGCTGCAGCCTTGCTATTGCTCTAAAATGTATTATTTTCTGATAAATCCATTCTTTTTTTAGAATTTGACATAAATGAGCCAGAATGATTTAAATTAACAGGCAAATATTTTTGAAATATTTAACTGTGTGAAATGAATCTATATACGACTTTCTCTTTTGAGCTGAATTCAATATTCAGGGTCAACATGGGGCCATAAGCAGCCACGAAATTACACTTTAGGTCAGCTCTGAGTCAACGTAAAAATATCTCCTTTTACAAAATAGTTCCAGAAATGACACAAATGGAGCTAAATGATATTTGTTTTCAAAACTACAACCACATAATTAATTTTTTTTTTACACATTAAGAACTGGTCAAGGAGACTTAATCCATAGCATAAAGCTAGAAAATAAACTCCCCCAGCTTATCTGTGAACATTTTTATGAGTGGACTGAATAAATGTTGTCCTTAACATGATTTTGAAGCCAAGTTTCTCAGTGTAAAAACTCATGCTTTCATTTGACTCAACACTACCACCAACATTAAAACAGAGATTTAATAAACTATAAAGACATGCACACATTATTACCACACAGTGTTCAGGAGATGCTTTTTAAATGGGATAATAAAACAAAAACAATAAAAAAAATTACGTTGCATACTGTAACCTACATCAATGTAAATGTTTCTGATTCAGGCCTAGATTAGTTTTCAGGTCTGGTTTCACCTCAGTAAAGTGAGAAATAGAAAACAAGACACAGCTCTACGTGATGTTACAGCTGGGTGATTTTATTATCGTTCCAACATGGACTGGGTCAGGGTGTTTGCGCGCTCCTGGTGCCGGACTGCGGGATTCAAATTATCTTGACAATAGGGAAATATTTGTGAGCGGAGAAGTCAAACTCTGGCAGCACCTGAAGATACAGGAAAATAAAATTCATCACACTCCAATAAAGGGGAGCTGATACATAACAACAACTAAAAAACAGTACTTGACAGAAAACAGACTGCTTTCTTTTTAAAAACATAAACTAGTCTACATTTTGAAACAGCTCTAAGGTATTTTCATTGTAAATAAATTGCGTTACCTTGGTTTCCTTCTTGTGGCCCCCGGCTAGAAGCTTCATCACTACTATGTTGGGCTTGGCCACCTTCAGTGTGCGGTTTACCTGCCATCAATAATTTATTATTTGTTATTGATAGCCATAAATAATGGAGAAGAAATAATTGTTTGGGCCAACAAAGCAGTAATAGATTGGCAATAGGGATTAATGTTTGATTAAAAACATTTTAAACCACCAGGTTTTTTTATTTAAAATGGTGCTGATCATTTCTAGGCATCAAATTTTGTTACTGTAGGAATTTAATTATTCATAGATACTTTAATATTTATCTACTTTTAGAGCTTGCAAAAGTTGAAAAATGTTCCATCATAAAAGATTAACAACAGATTG